ATGTGCAGGTGGGATAGTTCTGTTCTCTTGGCCCCACCCGACTGGTGTGCTGACTCTATGCTCAGGCCAGAAGGAAGATAGCTGTGGCAATTCCAGGCACCACACCCAGACGCTGCAATTGCAAAGGCAGTATATCCCTAAGCCAATTGTTGGCGAGCATTTACCCTGGAGCCAAGGATGAGGGCATCCTCCCCTGGGTCACATGGAAGAGGAGTGGATACCTGAAAGAAATTAGGGCCTTGCCACCAAGGAAGATGAGGGCTTGAATGCTGGTAGATATCCAATAGCCTTAACTGCCTCTGTATGAATAAGTGAAGCCACCTCCTAACCATGCTCTCCACCTTCTGTCCCCTCCACCCCATTTCCTCGTTTTTTATAAGGAAGCCAGCGCTATCCTTCCAAACCCCCCTCTGTCATCATAACACTTTCTTGGTGAGGAGGCCTAGGTGATTCCACCGGGACTAAAGGAAAAAGCCCAAACACTTGGCCACCCATTCAAGCGCTCCCACAATCAGACACCAACCTATTTCTTTATCCTTTCCTCCCCCTAACCCTTCTAACCCAAACCAAAAAACCCGTTGTGGTCCAGTCAATTCCAACTCATAGTGACCCTATAGGACAGAATAGAACTGCCCCAGAGGATTTCCAAGAAGAGACTGGTGAATTCGAACTGATGACCTTTTGGTTAGCAGCCAAATGCTTAACCACTGTGCCACCAGGGCCCCAACCCTTGTGACAGGACTTGGCAAACTTTTTCTGTGAAGGGTTAGATAACAATCCTTCACAAAAGGGCTTTGTGGGCCATGTGCTCTCTTCTGCAACTACTGAACTCTGCCACTGTAATGAGAAAGCAACCACAGCTAACACTAAATGAAGGAACGTGACTGTATTCCAATAAACCAGGCAGTGGACCATGGGCCAGGGTTCCCAACCTCTGCTTAGAAGAGCCCCGTACTCCACCGGGCCTTAAACTGGTATAAGCAACACCCTATAAGAGCCACAAAGAGAACAAGAAAATAGTACTGAGCAGCCTCACATATGCAGGATGCCTGGCAGGGTATTGGCTCCATGAATGACACAGATCAAAACTGACTAAGGCAGCGAGACCTCTTTGTAAACTTTATTGATTAAATTAGATCACTAGGGTGATTTAAAAGTCAAGAGATCTTCTAGGGCTGTGTTTCCTAACCTTCTCCAGGCTGTGGCACATGAATTTGCTAGGCAAACTAAGACGAACAAATGGGTTTATTTCCACACCTTGCAGATAACATCTTTGCAAGTCATCATTTAAAACTCTTCTTTCCATCTACACCCCCAGATAGACATCTCACTCATCACATAACAAAATCTTATCGCTGCCTCCATCCTTCTGTAAAAAACAGATAAAACAAAAGGAAGAACCTCAGAGATAATGGAACACCCAAGATTACACGGCTAGACCTACATGTACCAAGCACTAGTTGAGAAAGTGTCTCGTTTTTGTTTGCTGCTGTAGAATTGGCCCCCAACTCATGATGACCCTGTGCACAATGGAATAAAATGCTGCCTGTCTTGCAGCATCCCTATGATCAGTTGTGGATTAGACCACTGTGAACCATAGGGTTTTTATTGGCTGAGTTTTGGAAGTAGATTGCCAGGCCTTTCTTCTTAGTCCATCTTAGTCTGGAAGCTCTGATGGAACCTGTTCAGCATCATACCAGGTCAAGTGCCAAAGTACTTCACATGGCCCTAGGAATCACAGGCATGTCATAAAAGACTGACATTTGATTTATTCAGTTAGCTAATTTGCTCAGACATCAGCAAAGAGTTTAACATGACTCTATCAGAGAAATAGAAGAGTCGTGATAGACTGTAAAGTTAGTCTGTCTGGTTTGAATTCTGGCTCTGCTTCTTCTTATTTATTTGACCTTGGTTAAGTTAATTAAGTTCTCTGTGCCTCAGTTTCCTCATCTGTAAAATGAGGCCAGTGATGTATCTGACTCAGAAAATCGTTAGGATAATTACACAAGCCAACATGTGAAAATAAAACAGGACCTAGCTCATTGTAAATGCTATATATAATTAGGTAAAAGAATATATATGTGTATATGTTTTGAATCAAGTTTTGTCTCAGGCATAGAATAAAATTCACTTAAATAAAGTGACAGAGTCAATATCTACTTAGGCAGGCAGTCTGCTCCATGTAGTCATTCAAGGACTCAGATGGCCAATGGCTCTGCCATCTTCAGTACATGGTTTTCAAGGTTTCCATGGGGGTTCTTCATACAGCTAGTTGAAATAAGAGAGTGTAGAGGAGCTCACATTGAGGGTTTTATTATCCAGGTTTAGAAATGGTGGCCGTTATTTCCTCACACTGATTCCATTGGTTAGAATCCAGTCACATGACCATGCCAAACTACAAGGGAGGCTGGGAAATGTAGTCTAGCTGCTCAGGAAGCCACATATGGATTTGGGTGAAGAACTGTCAGTGTTAGCCACACGTGGGTATCTATGCAATGCATTATTGGTATTGGTATCTGTCTTAGTTATCTAGTGTTGCTGTAACTGAAATACCACAAGTGGATGGCTTTAACAAAGGGAAATGTATTCTTTTACAGTCTAGGAGGCTAGAAGTCTGAATTCAGGGTGCCATCTCCAGGGGAAGGCTTTCTGTCTGTTGGCTCTGAGGGGAAGGTCCTTATCATCAATCTTCCCCTAGTCTAGGAGCTTCTCAGCACAGGGACCCTGGGCCCAAAGGACCCACTTGCTCCTGGCTCTTCTTTCTTGGTGGCATGATGTCCCATCTCTCTGCTTGCTTCTCTCTCCTTTTATCTCATGTAAGATAAAAGGTGATTCAGGCCACAACCCAGGGAAACTCCGTTTACATTAGATCAGGGCTGTGACTTGAGTAAGGGTGTTGCATCCCACCCTAATCCTCTTTAACATAATCTGATCTTGCCTCATTAGCTACAGACAGAGATTAGGATTTACAACACATAGGAAAATCACATCAGATCACAGAACAGTGGGTGACAACCACACAATACTGGGAATCATGGCCTAGCCAAGCTGATACATGTTTTTGGGGGGCACAATGTAATCCATAACACCCCTCCTTGGAAACATTGTTTAACTATGCAATGCTGGCCTAGATAGTTTAGAGACAAATTTTATTCTTTTAGTCTTTCAACTAATATTTACTAAGCATTTATGACATGTCAGACACCAAGCTAGATACTGAGGGTACAAGAGGGACCAAAACAGACGTGGTTCCTGCCCCAGTGGAACTCACGTTCAAGATGGGGGAGAGGGGAGAGATTTATAATAAATAAATAGGTGACTATATAAGCTCAGGAATCCTGGTGACACAGTGGTTAAGCACTCAGCTGCTAATCGAAAGGTTGGCAGTTCAAACCCACCAGACTCTCCAAGGGAGAAAGATGTGGCAATCTGCTTCCATAAAGATTACAGCCTTGGAAACCCTATGGAGCAGTTCTACTCTGTCCTGTAGGGTCACTATGAGTCAGAATCAACTCAACGGCAATGGGTTATATACATATATATATATATATACCACTACACAATGGCTTGTTGACTCTGTCCAACTCTGTCCACTCTTTGGTCACCTCCCTGGGTACCTCTGTCTCTCAATCCTCAGTGCCTCACACCACGGCCCATATATATATATGAGCAATGATTCCAGTAAATAAGAGGCCGAGCCAAATGACAGCAGAGTTGGGAACCACTTCACCACCGGGGCTCCTTGTACATTATAGACTCTTGTAAATAGTCTTAAATCCTCTCTGGATACCCTGGATAGTTCTAGAATTCTAGGAAAGAAATCTTTCTTTATTCCCAAAAATGATTTCTGTATTATTGCCTGGAAAGAAGAAATGAACTTACTGTTTGTCAAGGGGTTGGTGTTTGGGGAAAGGTTGATTAAGGGGATAAGGCTGTAAAGACATTTGGATGCAGAAAACCCAGATTGTTACTAAGGTGAACAACTGATGAATGTAGGTCATGGAGCTCAGAATTTCCTGTTGGATATTTTTCCTGGATTCTGTGAAAGGGAGACACTGGGGAATTCCATAGGCAGAGTCAGGAAAACCTCAAGCTGGGTGGCTGTGAAGGGAGGGGTTTGAAGTGAGGAAGCAAGCAGTGGATGTGGAGAGGGTGAAGTAAGACAGGAAACTACTTCCCCAAAGGTCGGGACGGCAATGAGAATGCTCTGGTTTTAATTTCAGGAGGTTACTGGCGATGAGTAATACCATGCACATGTGATGAGTGTGCATGCATGCACACACACTTGCTCACACACACACACGTCCTTCAAAAAGAAGATATAGGAAACGTCTTTGGTGAGTGCCCTTGGGTCAAATTCAAGTGCCATGTTGGTGTTAGTAGCCACTGAGTCGGCTCCACTCAGGGCGACCCCGTGTACAACAGAAACGAAACGTTGTCCGGTCCTGTGCTATCTTCATGACTGTTGGTGTGTCTGAGTCTATTGTTTCAGCCACTAGGTTATTTTGAGCGCCTTCCAACCTAGGGGGCTCATCTTCCAGCACTATATCAGACAATGTTCTGTTGTAATCATAGGTGTTTCATTGTCTAATATTTGGAAGTAGATCACCAAGCCTTTCCTCCTAGTCTGTTGGTCTGGAAGCTCCGCTGAAGCCCTGCTGGTATTTCAAATACCGGTGGCATAGCTTCCGGCATCATAGCAGCATGCAGGCCACCACAGTGTGACAAACTGACAGATGGAGATGGATGGTGGTAGAGTACCGTAATTATCCTTAGACCTCCTGCTAGAGAAGAAGGCGTGTTGACTGCCCAGTTGGGTATGGGCAGATATGGAACATCCTGGCTTTTGTATCCATAATGGGAATACCCTGCTCCCCTCCCCAGCCCAGCCCTGCCAGCCATCCTTCTTTGCTTCCTGTCCACTAGACAATGGCTTGTTGACTCTGTCCCACTCTGTCCACTCTTTGGTCACCTCCCTGGACACCTCTGTTTCTCAATTCCCAGCACATCACACCATGGTCCAGGTCTCCGGATTAGGTGCCCAGCAGGCTTCAGTACTTCATCTGACCCCGCTGGGATCATACTTCCATGACCTTGGACACACGTTGTACAGAGTGAAAGAGTAAAATGTATGAAATCAGCCAATAACAGTTTGAAAACTAACAATCTGAGAGGGAGAATTGTGTGTGTATGATACATGTACAGACAGACAGCAGGCGCATGCAAGCCTGCAAGAGAGATGGACAGTGTGTGTCTGTGGGCTACAAAACAGTTGCAACCTATGAAGGAGGGAAAAGAAACAGGCAGGCAGAGAGAAAAGAGTGAGAGCTGATGCACAGCAAAAGCAAAGATGCCCTCCTGGCTCCTGTCTTTAATGCAATGTATCAGCTGACATCACCAGCTAGAATCCCCGTGGTTTTGCCCCTAAAGATGCCAGGCCAGGCAGGCTCATTTCAATCCTGTTTTATTTCATCAGCTTTCAGTCACTCTCCAGAGTTTCACTTTGACCAACAGGCTCGAGAACTACCATCAACATGTTCACGTTCCTGTAGCCTTACGTAGACCCAGCTTCTGTTTTCTTTCTGTTTATTTTAGGAGTGTCTGGTTGAAGAGAGAATCACAGATGCCTGTTAGTACAAACATAACCGTCATAATGAAGAGAAACAATAGTAAATAAAAGAATCCTGAAACCAAACCACAGAGGTTAAATATCAGTTTTCCCATTTGCTCCATGTGTGACCTTGAGCAAACTGCCTACCCTCTCTGTGTCTCAGTTTCACGAATTATAAAATGGGAACACTGAGAGAACCTACCCTCTAGGGCTGTTGTGAGGGTTATGTGGGTCAATACACATAAAGCACTTGGATCTGCCTCTGGCACTAATTGTTGTCAGTTGTCATGGAGTCAACTCTGACTCATGGTGACCTGTGTACAGCAAAACCAAATGTTGCCCAGTCCTTACTACACTGTCTTACAGGGTCGCTATGAGTCAGAATGGACTTGACAGCATGCAACAACACCACCATACTTGTGGATATTATCCCATGTGGGAATAAAGTTTTCTTCGTTATGTTAATGAGGTCATCTCGTACAACAAAACCAAACGTTGCCCAGTCCTTACCAGCTTCACCATAGATGGTGTGCTCGAGTCCATTGTTTCAGTCACTGTGTTTCGAGTGCCTTCCAACCAGAGGGCTTATCTTCTAGCACTGTATTGTACAATATTCTGTTGGGATCCCTAAGGTTTTCACTGGCTAATTTTTTGGACGTAGATTGCCAGCCCTTTCTTCCTGGTCTATCTTAGGCTGGAAGCTCACTGAAACTTGGGTGACTCTGTTCGCATTGGAAACAGAGTCACCGGTGGCATAGCTTCCAGTATCATAGCGACACCCAAGCCACCACAGTACGACAGACTGACAGATGGGTGGTGGCACTACTAAACCAAAACCAAACCTGTTGCCATCAAGTCGGTTCCAACTCACGGCAAACCTACAGGACAGAGTAGAACTGTCCCATAGGGTTTCCAAGGAGCGGCTGGTGGATTCAAACTGCCGACCTTTTGGTTAGCAGCCGAGCTCTTAACCACTGCGCCACTCGGGCTCTGGTGGCAATACTAGACCTCTCTAAATGTTAGCATATGTTACTGCTTTTCTCATAGGTTGAGAAAAACTAAAAGTAGTGGCAGATGGCACATTGCAGTGATTCTTCCTGGTCACTCCTCAGCCACACCAGGTCTGTGCATGGAATGTTCCACCCTAGAACCACATCTGACGTGATCAGGAAGGGAGTTAGAGTGAAAGAGCTAGGTGGCCGACTCTGGTTTAGGCTGGGGGTCCAGGTGTGTCCTCACTCACCTTCCTCCACCTCTCAGATGAGTTGACCAAACCTTGACACAGTCAGCATGCGTCATTTCCCTTCCTATCCTCTGGGTTCATCTTTCACGACCCCCTGGCCAATAGAAGGTGGTGGGTGTCATGGCCCCCACTCTTGTTCGTTGCCCCCCATCCCAGCTTCATCTGCTAAGGAAAAATGCCGCGGATCACTGGCCAGGTGAGGAAACAAGTTTGGGGCCTAGAAAAATCTGCCCCAACCCTAGTTGGAGCAAAATACCCTTGGGAGGTTCCCCAAAAGTTACGTGACATTTTTCAGCCAATTGAACTTCCCTAACCTCATTTCCCAGAAAATTTATTCAAAGATTAGAAATTGTAGGGCACTGGTGGTCTAAGAAAGAGGTCAGTAAATTCTCCCATGGAGCCGAGTCTCGAGCGGGAAAATTACCTGTTAGCATGGGAACGCACTAGCATCAAAACCTGTGGACAGGATGACCTCCAAGTATTGCCCTCCTGCAAACTGGCCAATGACCTACCTGTCCTCCCACAATGAGGTTCTGGGTTCCTGCAAAAGGCCACATTCACGTAAGTCCTGTTAAACCAGCTGAGTGGGTTCTTACTATGTGTCACTCTAGTGGGTCATGTGTTATCAAGGCCTCTCAGAAATTTCAACAATTTGTCCCAAGGAAATAATCAGACAGGGCCTGGAGCTGACTGTGAGAGGTAATTCACCGTGGTTTATGTCATAATATCAGAGATATTGGAAACCAACTAAATGGCCACCAGTAAGGGATGGTTTTAATTAATTACAGTGTAGCCATCAATGAAATACTTAGCAGTCTGTACAAATAATACAGGATCTATAAGTATTGGCATGAAAAGATGTCCACAACATCTTTGTTTAATGTGAAAGGCAGTTCAAAGAACAGCATCCTGTTATGTTGCTAACGGAAAGGTCTGTGGTTCAAACCCACCAGCCGCTCTGTGGGAGAAAGATGTGGCAATCTGCTTTCGTAAAGATTACAGCCTCAGAAACCCCATAGGGCAGTTCTACTTTGTCCTACAGAGTCAGTGTGAGTTGGAATTGACTCAAAGGCACACAACAACGCAGAAAATTGCATTCATATCGATGCGCCCATAGAGCTATCGAGAATTATAAAAACCAAAAACCAGTTGCCATTTCGTCTGACTTATGGTGACCCCACATGTGTCAGAGCAGAACTGTGCTCCAGAGGGTTTTCAATGGCTGATTTTTTGGAAGCAGATTGCCAGGCCTTTCTTCTGAGGTGCCTCTGGATAGACTCAACCCTTCAACCTTTTGGTTAGGAGCTGAGTGTTCAACAGTTTTCACCACCCAGGGACTCCTTGAGAATTATGTTTGCCGAAATATTAACAGTGACTACCTCTGGGCTTGTGACTTTGAGGGATCTTTACTTTCTCCTTTACATTTCAAAATATATCTTAAATAATTTATAACAATACAATGTATCATTTTATACTCTGAAAAAAACTAAGGTCTTGTCATATTTTAATTCTGAGGGGGGAAATGAACTAGTTTAATCATGTTTGGGAAATGTGTTCTTGGGTTGGCCACACCAACTAGGTGGAATAAGAACAATAATAATCAACATTTTGGGAATACTTACTAGGTGCCAGCAGCCTCTGATCTGAGCACTTTATGTGTTTTCAACACATTTAATGTTCACAATAACTCTGTTGTTGTTGTTGCTGTTACGAGCCACGGAGTCAATTCTGACTTATAGCAACCCCATGTGACAGAGTAGAACTGCCCTCATAGAGTTTTCTGGCTGTAATCTTCATAGGAGCAGATCTCCAGGTCTTTCTCCCGCATGGCGGCTGGACGAGTTCCAACTGTCAACATTTTGCACCACCAGGGCTCCTTCACGATAACCCTGAAAAAAAACCCAGACCCATTGCCGTCCAGTCAATTCCGACTCACGATAATCCCAGGAGGCAGGTATTTCACAATGCCCATTTTACAGATACCGAGAGTGAAAGTAATTTGTGCAGGTCTCATGGCCAGTAAGTGGAAAGCAGAGATTGGGGCAGAGGTTTGCCTCCCAGGTGTCTGATGACGACCGTGTGTTACTCCGCACGCACGGAGTTCACCTGTTCCTTATCTGCAGCGAACTAGCGAAGGAGCGAGTGGGCATGGGGAGAGCAGAGAGGGAGAAGGCAGAGGAGGCTGCCTGGAGGAGAGCAGGACTCGGGGTCCCTGCTCCTGAAGCCTCTTCAGTCTCCTGCTCGTCTCCTGTATCCAACCCCTCTTAGCTGCAGTTTCCTTTTTTGTAAAATGAGGGAGTTGGGTCAGAAGATCTGTAAAGACCTCGCCATCTTTAAAATCCCGGGTAGGTCCTCGAGTTCTACAAAGGTAGGCCTCTTACTGACACGTTTCAAACTCTGTTGCACTTTCTCACTTCCTCCCTCTCTCGCTCCTTCTCCTTTCATTCCCCTCCAAGCTCAATAAACAAAGAAACAACAAACAAACAGAAACTCCGGCTCATAGCAACCCTATAAGACAGAGTCGAGCTGCCTCACGGGGTTTCCAAGGAGCACCTGGTGGATTCGAACTGGCGACCTTTTGGGTAGTAGCTGTAGCTCTTAACCACTATAGAGGCTATGTTTGTTTGTGAAAACCTCCCTCGTGTTTTGATTCTTTTTTGCCTGATTCTCAGTCCCACATCTTGATTGCTCATCCTCTCTCTGCGGAAATTCCTATCTTCTTGGCCACCCTCCCTGCCCCTCTTGCCCGCATATACCTTTCCTAGCCTATCCCTGACCCACATTCTAATCTCCCTCACCCTGTTGACCAACATCTACAGGCTCAGGCCTTCATGGTAACATTCCTGGATTCTAGGCTGGCCATTCTAGGCATTTATTCACTTGCCTTGACTTAGGAGAAAATCTATCCTATAATTAATCCATTCAGTCAGTCAAAAATATTTTTTGAGCTACTGAGTGGCCATCTAAGATGCATCAGTTGGTCCCAATCCACGTGGAGCAAAGGAGAATGAAGAACACCAAAGACACAAGGAAAATATTAGCTCAAGAGACAAAAGGGGCCACATAAACCAGAGATTCCATCAGCCTGAGACCAGAAGAACTGGATGGTACCCGGCTACCACCAATGACCACCCCGTCAGGGAACACAACAGAGAGTCCTTGATAGAGCAGAGAAAAGTGGGGTGCAGAAGTCAAATTCTAGTAAAAAGACCAGACTTAATGGTCTGATTGAGATTGGAGGAACCACAAAAGTTACGGCCTGCAGACTCTCTGTTAACCCAGAACTAAAACCATTCCCACAGCCAACTCTTCAGACAAAAAATAGACTGGACTATGAGACATAAAATGATACTCATGAAGAGTGTGCTTCTTAGTTCAAGTAGATACATGAGAGTAAACGGGCAGCTCTTGTCCTGAGGCGAGATGAAAAGGCAGAAAGGGGCAGGAGCTGGCTGAATGGACACGGGAAATCTGGGGTGGAAAGGAGGAGTGTGCAGTCACATTATAGGGATAGCAATTAGGGTCACATAACAATGTGTGTATCAATTTTTGTATGAGAGACTAACTTGAGCTGTAAACTTTCACCTAAAGCACAAGAAAAAAAAGTTTTTTGAGGAACCACACTCGACAAAGCACTGCGCTAGACACGGGGAAGACTGTGCAGATTTAGAAAGATGAAGCTCTTTTCCCCAGAACTCTTACATCAACGGCATATTTCTGGAGAGCTGGAGAAGCTGTCTGTTTAAAATGCTCTAGGTCAGCTTCAAGTTGGTATCACTGAAGAACGTGCCAGCCCTTATGTGTTCAGTGAGGTTGCTCTTCTGGAACGGCTCAGTCCAGATAACAAAAAATAAAAGGCGCCTTCACTGACAAAACTGGGTACTGGCACACCCTCAGGTACTGGCACACCCTCAGTTCTGAGAATTGAGAACCTGGGCGGTAGAGCTTTTGCTTTCTTTGTTGTTGGAGTCGCCGGGTGATTACACTTTCGGGAACAAGGGCCACACCTGAGGAGTCAGCATTCCAGGACGGGCATCCCCGGGCTCCCAGAGCATGGTGACAGGGCACAATGACAGGTGAGAGTGCTCGCCAGGCCCGGAAAGGAACAAGCAGAGCTTTGTATGCAGCTCATCCCTAGAAGGAGTCCCTGGGTGGACACATGGTTAAGGAGCTCGGCTGCTAACGGAAAGGCTGAAGGTTAAGTCCACCCAGAGGTGCCTCGGAAGAAAGGCTTTGCAATCTACTGCCAAAAAACCAGTCATTGAAAACCCTATGGAGCACAGTCCTACTCTGACACACACGGGGTCGCCATGAGCTGGAGGTGACTCAACAGGCAACTGGAACTGGTTTCCTTAGAAGAAAAATTCTGAGCCAATCACATCCTAAAACTTCAGTAACTCAAAAGAAATAAGAACACTAGCATTAGATGCACTGGTGTACTTTACTATGCAGTCTTATGGGTAGCTACCCAAATGGCTATGTGACATCAGACACTAAAATCCCTAAAACCTCCCCCATCACATACAGCTTAAGGTCCAAAGTCCTTAAGGGAAAAAAAAAAAAAAATTGCCATCAAGCTTACCCCGACTCATGGCGACCCCATGTGTGTCAGAGTAAACTGCACTCCATGGGGTTTTCAATGGCTGATTTTTCAGAAGTAGACAGCCAAGCCTTTCTTCTGAGACACCTCTAGGTGGATTCAAACCACCAACCTCTTGGTTAACTGTTGAGTGCGTTAACCATTTGCGCCACCTGGGTACTCCCCAAAGTCCTTAGTTCCGCCTTTAGTGGCCTTTGTGCTCTAGCCCTGCTCACAGCTCTCCTGGCCTCGCACATGCTGTTCCTCTAATCTTTCCCCCGTTGACTATGTCAGGTAACACACGTCTCCTCCAGAAGGCCTTTTTAAGCCACCCAGCAGTTTCTCGTACTGTGGTGGCTTGCGTGGTGCTGTGCTGCTTGAATCTATGCCACTGCTATTTCAAACACCAGCAGGGTCACCCATGGTGAACAGCTTTCAGCAGAGCTTCCAGACTAAGACAGACTGGGAAGAAAAGCCTGGTGATCTACTTCTGAAAATTGTTGCTGTTGTTGTTGTTGTTAGGTGCCGTTGAGTCAGTTCTGACTCATGGCGACTCCAGGTACAACAGAATGAAACACTACTCGGTCCTGCACCCTCCTCACAATCGTTGCTATGTTTGAGTCCATTGTTGCAGTCACTGTGTCAATCCCTCTTGTTGAGGATCTTCCTCTTTTTTGCTGACCCTCTGCTTTACCAAGCATGATGTCCTTCTCCAGAGACTGTTCCAGCCTGATAACATGTTCCAAGTATGTGAGACAAAGTCTCGCCATCCGGACTTCTAAAGAGCAGAATGGCTGTAGTTCTTCCAAGACAGATTTGTTTGTTCTTCTGGCAGTCTATGGTATATCCAATATTCTTTGCCAACACCATAATTCACAATTGGCCAATGAAAACCCTACAGATCTCAATAAAATATTGTCTAATGCAGTGCTGGAAGATGAGCCCCTTAGGTTGGCTGCAGCAATGGACTCAAGCATACCAACCATTGTGAAGATGGCACAGGAATGAGCAATGTTTGGTTCTGTTGTGCATGGGGTCGCCATGAGTCAGAGCCAACTTGATGGCAACTAACAGCTATGTCATATACAGACCTAGCTCTACTTCTATTATGGCACTTATACTGCCGCAACGCCACCAACATCCCATTTCCAGCTAAGAGACACAATCACCAAAATCCCCCACAGGGCAAGTTGTTAGAGCAGACAGAAGACAGCTGGACATTCTTATGAGCGCACTGACCACCCTTCATGATAATTCTGTTCACCTGTTGCTCTCCCCGCTGGACAGAAGCCGCTGAGGCAGAGACTGTGTCTTGTGCATATTTGCATCCCCAGCGTCTGGAATCTAACATTGTTCCATAAATAAACATCCTTCTTTGAGTAAATAAGTGGAAACTGCAGCAACGTGGGCTCCTGATTCCAGAATAATAGGTAGGGAAAGCTACGCTTGCATATTAATTGCTTTATGATTTGTTTTTCATTTTCGACCTCACCTGACACAGAGTTCGGACTAATTATGATCATTAAATAAAACCAACACTCATTGCTGTGGAGTCTATTCCAACTCATAGCAACCCTATAGGACAGAGTAGAATTGCCCCATAGGGTTTCCAAGGCTGTAATCTTTATGTGCAGCCCTGGTGGTGCAGTGGTTAAGAGCTCAGCTGCTAACCAAAATATTGGCAGTTCAAATCCACCAGCTGCTCCTTGGAAACCCTATAGGGCAGTTGGACTCTGTCCTATAGGGTCTGTATGAGTCAGAACCGACTTAACAGCAACAGATTTGGTTTGTTTGGTTTACTCTTTATGAGGAGCCCCTGGTGGTGCAGTGGTTAAGCACTTGGCTGCTAACCAAATGGTCAGTGGTTTGAACCCACCAGCTGCTCCGAGGGAGAAAGATGTGGCAGTCTGCTTCCGTAAAGATGAACAGCCTTGGAAACCCTATGAAGCAGTTCTACCCTGTTCTACAGGGTTGCTGAGAGTTGGAGCTGACTCGACGGCAACAGGTTTGGGTGTGTGGGTTTAATCTTTACGGAAGCAGACTGACACATTTTTCTCCCACGGAGTGGTTGGTGGGTTCGAACCGCCAACCTTTCAGTTAGCAGCCGAGCACTTAACCAATGTGCCACCAGGGATCCTTGTCATTAAAGAAATCACTAATTTTTAACATGTTGCTCACGCAAAAGGGGCCAACAGGCCCTATTTTATATTAGCTAGAATACTTAATTCAAGAGATTCTAGACTTTCTATATAAACGTTAGAGTATAATTTACAAAACTCCCATAGTTCAGGCATTTTGCCAAGGCTCAGA